ATAAACAGTAAAGTAATGTGTGCTGTTGACCTTGATTTTATAAAATTGAAAACGTGAAAAAAATAAATAAATGGCCAACACCTGGAGAGGAAGCCTTTTCTTCCTGTTAGCTATCTAGACTCATTGGTCTAATGTAGACGGATATTTGCTATTCAGTGTTCTATGGAGGAGATTTTACCCGGACAAATCCCCGGTTGTACGTGGCAAGGAGTAGGGTCACCTGTCCAACCTCGTGGGTTTTCTCCGGGGCCTCCGGTTTCCTCCCACTGCTAAAGACCCCTACGCGCAAGCGAATTATGTCAATAAAATTAAACCATATGTTAGTCCCGAAATGACCTAGTTTGTGTCGAGTGGACGTTAAACCCCATTTCTCTCTCTCTCTCTCTCTCTCTCTCTCTCTCTTACCCGTACAGCGGCCTGCTTTTATTTCGAATTCCGTCACTGAATCTTTAACGGGGATGCCATTGTGTACGCGGAACCACTGGACGTTCTATCATGTAGTGTTCTAAAAGGTATTCTTCCCGGGACAGTGGCGCTACGGTCTACTCGTATTTCGAAATAAAACTGCCAAGGGTTTCTTTTGTTGCACGGCTATGAGTACACGAGACCGCAATTTTTGTACCATCTGAACGACTGGAACATTGCACATTGCCAGGCCCTCCAATCTGCACCAGGGACATGAAGAAACCACGAGGGACTATCTCGGGCAATGCCAGTGCGTACCTCTTTGTTAGATATGCAGCGCCTTACTCACTGAGCCACCGCGGCTCTTTGAAAAAGGCCCTAGTGTTGTTAACGACACCACCTGTAAATCTTCAAACTGTGATACAATCGTTTTACTTTAAAACAACGACAGAGAAAAACTTTAGTTTTAATAGTATTCATTAAAGACGTCATATAGACAAAAGACGTGTTATATAAATTCGGTGGCAATCAATTACATACTCAAATGACTTATGTTCACTGTAGAAGCCAATAACACATATTTTGATAAACATTTAAAGTAATCATAACCAATATTAAAGATACGTGCTGTGCCATAATCTATCAAATTATTCTTCTTTTAAAAACTCTAATAAATCTAATAGAAAATCCAACTTAAAGATACATTATGTAAGATTTAGATAAAGACCTGACCATTCTTGCTATAATAGTTCAAAAATAGATAATGTAAAATGAAAATATTGAAAATCTCATTCAATTACTTCATTCTGAGCCAAGTTATCACTGTTTGTAGTTTTGACAAGATGTGTGCATGGTGGTAACCAGGGCACTGGTATATTCAAGACGAACCGTTCTAATCTAGTTAAAATCTCGAGTATGCGATGCCACAAAGAGTTGATTATGGTCTAGATAAGTTAATTAATGTCTAATTAATAATTTAGATAACATTTCAGGCCTAACGACAGACCTGCAATAGGCAGATTTAGCTCTTGCATAATGTATGTTTAATAAACGCTGGTAAATATAACACATAATAATTCAAAAAGCGGTATGCAGTAAATATTAGATCAACAGTATGCGATAAATATTAATTTAAATCAAATATGAACACATAGTAATTATGTTGAACTATTTACAGAATTAAGAAAGTGGTATTTAATCTACATCCTTGGCACCACGTCATCAAGTGCTGGATTGGGGGACGAATTTTGGAACACTATCGACGTCTTACAAATATTTGAGAAAATGCATTTTATTGTCCCCTAATAAATAATCATCATTAATTTTGACTGCTTCACTGACTCAATGTCTAGTGGGTCTGAGTGTTTTCAAATGTTGTATCAGTTTGGGAATATCAGATATGATTATAAGGGCGAATGGCAGGACAGCGAAGATCAACCCAAAATAACCAATAGAAGCTGAGCTGGGCCTGTCATCTTTCTGACTGACTTTCTTTCTAATAACTGACGATATTTTACTTTTGTCGAGGGTTAATTCCTTGTGAATCCTGCTAACGACTTCCTCACTCATTGCAGATTCAAATGTGACCACCACAACGTCTTGACATACTTGCGATCTCAAAACTCCGTCAGACCCTAACACAACCACCCCAGTTGATGATGGTTGAAGGTCAAAGTCGCTGATATCAGAATATGGCTCCACTGCTGTGGTGGTTGGTGAACCTGGCTCCACTACTGTGGTGGTTGGTGAGCTTGCCTCCATTACTGTGGTGGTTGGTGAATCTGCCTCCACTACTGTGGTGGTTGGTGAATCTGCCTCCACTGCTGTGGTGGTTGGCGAACCTGGACCCACTACTGTGGTGGTTGGTGAACCTGCCTCCATTACTGTGGTGGTCGCTGAACCTGCCTCCACTACTATGATGTTTGTGAAACGTGGCTCTACAACGGCGGTGGTTGAGGACCATGGCTCCACTACCGTGGTTGTTGGGGAACATGACGCCACTAGTGTGGTGGTTCGAGAACATGGTCCGACAACTGTGGTGGTTGGGAAACATGACTCCACTACTGGGGTGGTTACAGTACGTAGCTCAACTACTGTGGTGGTTGCAGTACTTAGTTCGACTACTGTGGAGCATGGCTCAACTATTGTGGATGTTGGGGAACATGACTCCACTACTGTGGTGGTTGGGGAACAGGGTTCCACTACTGTGGTGTTTACAATACTTCGCTCAACTACTGTGGAGGTTGCAGTGCTTAGCTCGACTACTGTGTAGCATGGCTCAACTACTGTGGAGGTTGGGGAACATGACTCCTTTATTGTGGTGATTGGTGAACATGATGGATCGACTACTGTGGAACATGGCTCCACTACTGTGGTGGTTGAGGAACATGGTTCCACTACCGTGGTGGTTGGGGAACATGGCGCCACTATTGTGGTAGTTGCAGTACTTAGCTCGACTACTGTGGCGGTTGCTGTACTTAGCTCAACTACTGTGGAACATGGCTCCACTATGGTGGTCGTTGGTGAACATGACTCTACTACTGTGCTGGTTGGGGAACATGACTCCATTACTATGATAGTCACAGTAGTTATATCGACTACGGTGGTAGTTGGTGTACTTAGCTCTACTACTGTGGAACATGCCTCCGCTACTGTGGTAGTTGGTGAACATGGCTCCACTACGGTGGTGGTTGGTGAACATGACTCCATAACTGTGGCGGTTTCTGAAAATGGCTCCATGACTGTGATGGCCGTTGTATTTGTTCCATTTAAAGATGCCTGGGAGCTGGCTGTAAAAATAGAAATGTTTATTTCATTACAGTACAGATAAAAAGTTTAAATACACTCGTTTTCTGGTTTGTAAACATTCTATACAGCCTAGGTTGAGTACGTTGGTAATAAAGCCAATCAAATAGTCTCTAGTAATAGATTTTATTGATGTCCATCATACGTTTGTTGTCATGGTGAACATGATAACATTCGTTGCCTTGGTGAACATAATAACGTTCGTCGTCATGGTGATAATGGTCTTTATTCAGATACTGGTTATTTTGTCCAATAATTACTTGTCTTAAATTGTTTGAACATTTGAAGAAAAATTGGGTAGGAATGATATTTGAGTGATTCAATCTGAAAATGGATATCATTACCCCTTTTCATATAGTTTCGGATTTGGTCAAATTCGGGCGGTAAGTTCTTGTTCTAATAGTAAGTGCAGGAGGACCGCACTACACGCAAAACAAAAATCTACAAGATAAACCTGTGGACAAGACAGAATATAGACATTGCACCAAATAAACAAATATCAAATCAAGTGAAAAAAAACCAAAGTGAATATTTCTTACAATACGTTTTCGTTTCCTAGATCTTTCAAATAAAAGCGAATTAATGTCTCACGCGCCAAATCTTTGTTAGAAGTTTATGGTGTTCCTTTTAATGCCCTTCGTACGCTCTCGATGAAGAACTTCTTAATTATTGTTTTTGAAATCCCAGTCATTAGTAGACATCCAAAAAAAGAAAATTAGCTTTGGGCCCTTATGACATAGTTCCGTAACTCAAGAATCGACTTTGAGAGATCTGGATAACATAATGGGCCTACCCAACATTTAGGGCGCAATGTTTTCATGAAGCGATATGTAGCTTTCAGCTAATCCAGTCAGTACTGAAGTCCTCCGAGGACTTCAGATGAGTTCGCGTATTTTTACTGTCCAAGAATAAGTTTTGCTGTACGATGTTTTTGCCGTGCGATGTTGTATTCTTTAGAGAGATGGTAAACGTCATACTTCAGAACACCCGTTTATTAACGTCTACCCAACCCCCTTGTCTCGACAAGCTTGTTTTAAATTCAAATGCCCAGTATTTATAGTAAATAAGAAACCGGGTCTCTAACTCTATGCTACATTTGGACAGATATACTTTTATAGTTTACCGTTGTGGGCAATGTTTTTTTGGTTTTTTTTTACCTCAAACCACATTTTTTAATCCGACCTGTCATTAGGTCAGTAATTAACACATGATACCTACAGACTGTTTACGTTATGAGATAGTGTAATGTTTCGTTTATAATAATCTGAAATCCAGAGAAAATTTCTGGTTCCACACGGGGTCGAATTCGTTTGTAATGTTTGAGATTTATTCCTATGTTAATATATACTTACATATCTGAACACTAAATGACTTTCTACAGTAGATGACTAGGCCCATATAATACTCATTCGTCGATATCGATTGTTTTGACACATAAACAGCATTCTTCCAGGCACTGTCGTTAAAACTGTAATAATGTTATTGAGATGAGAAAACTATATAAATATGCCAATACAAGATTCCTTTCTATCGGATCTAATCGGAGAGGGGGGGGGGGGGGGTAGCGCGTGCGCGTTGAATCATAAGGTGTGTCACTGAGTCAACTGGCGTGGTTTCGATTCCTCGGTAGTACGTGACAAGCAGTAGGGTCGCCTGTCCAACCTCGTGGGTTTTCTCAATGCTATGGACCCCTACGCGCACGCGAATTATTGAAATAATATTGAACCATAATATGTTAGTTCCGAAATGACCTAGTTTGTGTCGAGTGGACGTTAAACCCCATTCTCTCTCTCTCTCTCTCTCTCTCTCTCTCTGTAAGTATATATTCAGATGTATAACACTCTTTGTCTGTCTGTCTCTCTGTCTCTCTGTCTAATCAATTATGTTCTGTGAAATACGTGTACAGTTCAAATTGAACGGCAGTCGTTTACCCCTGCTTAGTACAATCTAGACGTTTTTTGTCGTTTGTGAATCAGCCTTTACTAATTACTTCCACATTGTGTTGTAGGATATGCTTTTTTTTGTACACGACTCGTGTACTGATCATAAAATCTTAATTTATCTTAAATATTGGATATTAGGATCCTGAAGTTTCAAGGTAAGACAACAACATCAATATTGATTGAAAATGTACCAATATTGAATTCTAATTCGTGTTTTTAATTTCGAATATTATGGAAAATATTGAGTTACAGACTTAGCTCCTTTAATAGTATTAATATGTGTTTGTAGCATGTGTGTAGATTGTGTCCTGTCCCGTAGGTTTGTCCTGTGTAATGACTTGTGTGTGTAGCGGTCCTCCTGTAGCCATCATTACTACTATATATAACTCTAGTCGACATTTCAACTTACCAGACAGTGTTCCAACCTTCTTCCTCTTCATCTGAACATTTCCAGCTTGTATCAGTTTTAATCCCGTTACTCAAGGCAGCGCTGATGTAACACACTTCTCCAAAAGGATTGGTACATTTGATTGCTATCAGTTGTGTACTACCAGGTATGTTGATGGGTGACACACCACCCCATCTGTTATCATTAGCATGTACATATCGAACACCATCCGCATACAATTCCATTTCTCTATAACATGTTGCATTTCCAGTTATATTTGGATTGGCTACATAAACAAAATAGAGATTTTAAGAAAAACACCTCAGTAAAATATGTGGAGCTCTAATTTAAAATAAAACGGTTTTAAACTGTTCTGCTCTAACTGGGATAACGAAGACGTCCATAAGCCAGTAGTCTAGAGAGGTGATTTTCAACCAGTGTACCGCGAGATCTTCCTAAGTGTGCCGCGAACTTTTGAACAGCGCACTAAGAAAATTTGACTGATGAAATTCCAAACACTACAATAAGGTAAGTTCATAGCTGTATATTTCTTTATTTAGTTTGAATCACTTTATGTGTCTATGTCTGTGTATACGGTTGTGTGTCGTTTATGACTTGCCGTGTTTTTATTTTGCAAAATTCAAATATTTGTTATATATATTTATCCAATATTTGTTTTACCAATCAGACATTTGTCATATCAGATTTGTAAAACAAATATTGATTTTAAGATACAAATGTTAATTTTAGTATACAAACGTCGAAATACGACAACAAATGAAGAAATAAGAATTAAGGACTATGAATTAAGAAGTAAGAATTAAGAACACTGAATAAAGAGCTGATTGGTCTTCCATAGTAAAGCATCTTGTCTGCGATGTCACCATTGATGGAAGCGGACGTTAAATAATAATAGTAAAAAGGGACATTCTGAGACCGCTTCTAAATTACTAGGTCACCCGCGTACACCGAATAAAAAAGAAGGAATATATTTATAAACTAATTTCTGTAACTTACAGATATCAGCAGAAACATGACTCTGTAAAATATACAATATGACACCAATGCTGGTCACCTTGTATTTTACCCAAAATGTCATCACCTGAATCTAAAAGTAAAAAAAAAATTATAATAAGATTAAAGGTATTCACACAATATTAAAGGGGTCATTTTGGGCCCTAAAATGTGTCACTCCTTTATATCATGAAAGGGGCAATAGAAAACCTTAAGATTAGTGCACCCCATATATCATGTATAGGCAAAGTTACTTTGACTGATCACAGACTCGTTTATATGGTTAGGCCACAAAACACACAAACACTTCCCTTGTACCAAAAATGTCGACAGATTCGGTCATAAAGTTGTCGCACATTTATTCTTTGTATACAATGAAATAAAACAAAAACACCATTAAGCAGGGAGGTCTAGTGATTTATGTTAGTCCCGAAATGACCTAGTTTGTGTCCAGTGGTTGTTAAACCCCATTACTCTCTCTCTCTCTCTCCCCCTCTCTCTCTATCTCTCTCTCTCTCACTCTCTCTCGCTCGCTCTCCTCCGATTTCCTCCTAAAACCTACGCGCAACTAAATTATTGAAAAATTGAAGAAACAAATGTGAACCATACGCGCCAGCGAATTATTGAAAAAAAAAATGTGAACCATACGTTAGTTCCGAAATGACCTAGTTTGTGTTCAGTGGTCGTTAAATCTCATCCCTCTCAGTGTTTCTCTCCCTTGAAGCCAATTATCAAAAACTAATTAAATTTTACTGGTAATTTATAATAGAATAACAACATAAGAATACTCCATAAAATATCTTTAAATGACTAAAATAAACATTACTCACCTGTGTGTGTAACAACCAATTGATAACTGAAAACATAAGTATCCAAATTTATCAATCGACTCTTGCAAGTTCCAACTGTCATGCGATGGTTTACGAGAGAGATACCGTAGTGCCTTCGACAGTTTTGATAATTATGAAATATTCTGATTCTATATAGTCTGACTTCCACGGCGATAATCAATATACTTATTCATATGTTTAAATAATAATTAGCATCTAGCGTAGGCCTAGTATGCAATTTTAAAGCAGCTAAGCCTCTAACTCAATATTTTCTATATGTTCGAAATCAAAAATATGTATTAGAATTCAATATCGATCAATTCCAATCAATATTTATGTTGTGATAATATCCAATATTTCCAGAAATGAAATGAAATGGGGTTTAACGTCCTACTGTTCTGCTCCTAAACTGGGATAATGGAGACGGGCATACGCCATACAGTATGCTATTACGGACATTTTGCCCGGGCAGCGGCGCTACGTCCTACTCTGATATCGAATTCCAACTGCCAAGGGATCTTTTACGTGCACGCCAATGTGTACACGGGACCTCGGTTTTTCGTCCCATCCGAACGACTAGACAGCTGTCCTTATCAGGCCCTCCATCCTGCATCACTGACAAGGAGGAACCACGCCGGAAAATCAGGATGAACTTTCTCGGCCAATGCAGGGATCGAACATCCGACCTCCAGGCTAGCGAGCCAGCGTCTTACCCACTTAGCCACGTGATCCCCTAAAAGTAAGACGTTAACCAACAAGATGATAAGTTTGAAACCATTGGTTACCATAATTTTAATTATGACGTACTATAGCTATGAAAATATCATTCCACTACGTTGATATGAACCGAATATATCAACCTATGATGACGTCATGACAGGTTGTTATGAGATATAACTGCTATGGACATCAAAGAAAAAATTACCGCCAGTTGTATATAGTATACTGTTTACCGGGTAGGTTCGCTGGTCAAACTACAGTGCGCTTTAGATTTATTATAATTTCTGTCATTGAATCAAGTGGTGCCATTTAGATTCCCAGCTCGAATTTTCTCCGGTACCGCCTGTTTCTGCCCACTGCTAAATACCCCTACGTGGAAGCGAAAAATAGAAATAAAATTGAACCATATGTTAGTCCCGAAATTACCTAGTTGGCTTCGATATCTCATTTTGTAACTAAAACAAACTTTTATCCAATCATGTCTCTATTTGGTTTGGTACAGAGATTGTCTACCGATAGATGTCGTTTTTTACGGTGTATAGTTTATCGATGAATGAATGGGTTTTTTTACAACGCTTCCATGGACAACAAACAACTAGTAAACAACATTTGTATAATGAGATATTTTATCGATATGGATGAGTGGTTGGCACGTGTGCGCTGTGTCAAAAGGTATGTCATTGAGTTATAATTAAATGGCGTGGTTTCGAATCCCCGGTTCTACGTGACATGCACTGCTAAAAATTGAATTATTGAAATCAAATTGATCCATGTATTAGTCCCGAAATGACCTAGTTTGTATCTACGGGACGTTACCCACCCCACCCCCCTACATCCTCCGCATACGACATAAACAGACAAAAATATGGCCCAAACAAACCTACGCCATTAACATTTGTCGCTGGGTTTTACATTGGCTACGGATGTTCCCTAATCCCCAGATATCCTGAATACAATATAGAATGTGTTTAATCAGCTTGCAAGGAACAGTGTATAGTCGTTCGGATGATATGAAAAACCGAGGTCCCGCATACACATTAGTATGCACATAAAATTAACCGGCAGCGCCGTTGTCCGGGCAAAATTTCACTCATAGCACACTGGCGTATACCCGTCTTTACTAGCCCAGTTGAAACAGAAGCGTAGAGAAAGTAATCGATGGCTGTATGAAACATGTCCTACATTACTAGCCCAGTCGGAACGGAACAGTAGAGAAAGTAACCAATGGCCGACATTACTAGCCCAGTCGGAACAAAACAGTATGCCACAGTATTCCATTACTAACCCAGAATATTAGGTTGTTAAACCTCGTGTAAACCCCACTATGTTATTTCAACAAATTGTATATTTATTTTATATGGAAGAGATAACAAGACGTTTTAAAGTATAGTGGCTTTTTGTAGAATGCCCGCGTTCTTTGTAATATAGTTTTAATCTACCCGAACTTGGTTTAGACAATAATTTATTTTGTATCACGCAGTGTCAGTTTTTATGGAGTTATATTCAATCGCTTCATGGGCTAACTTAATGAAAACTATACTAACTGAAATGGAACCAATTAGACAGAAGATGTATATTATCTGTTAATCAGTAACTCAGGTGTGTATACTCCACTGAGATCTTTAATTGGTAATTGAAAATAAAACTGTTAGAACTTATGAAATATTTAATAATAGTATTCAATCGCTTCATGGGCTAACTTAATGAAAACTATGCTTACTGAAATGGGACCAATTAAACAAACAATGTATATAATCAGTAAATCAGTTGTGTATACTCCACTGAGATCTGTAATTGGTAAAACAAAACTGTTAGACATTATAAAATATTTAATAATAGTATAGGGGATATGGTTATAATTAAAGGAGGTAAATCGTTAATATTTGGGACCTAGAAATTGACACAAATGGGTCGCAACGCATAAAATAATGTAATATGAATGTATATAAACTGATTTTACATTCAATTGTTTATGTTTTTACTGCCATTTCTAATCAGTTATGTTTGACGAAATACGCCAGAAGTCTCAATCGAATGGCAATTTCTAGCGTCTGGTTATTCAAGTCTACACCGATAGTATTTATTGCGCATGCTCTATAGAAAAGAATATGGCATCACCGTTTGACATGACTCCTGGAATATGTCTAGATTCCTTCTTCGATTCCCTTATTACAAATGGCGCTGAAACGCATTATGGTACACGATTCGTAATGGTAAATTAATGTTTATTTTGTCTTAAATATTGAATATCAGAAGCCCATCTTTTTTCCGTAAGATCACAAAATCAATGTCGATTTAATTTCGCAAATAATTCGTGCTTTCAATGTCGAAGGGGGTTGGATAGCTGGATGGTTAGCGTGCGCGCACTTTATCATAAAGTCTGACATTGAGTCGACTGGCGTGGTTTCGAATCCCCGGCTGTACGTGACAAGGAGTAGGGTCGCCTATCCAACCTCGTGTGTTTTCTCCGGGTACTCCAGTTTCCTCCCACTGTTAAAGACCCCTACGCGCAAGCGAATTATTGAAATGAAATTAAACCATATGTTAGTCCCGAAATGACCTAGTTTGTGTCGAGTGGACGTTAAACCCCATTTCTCTCTCTCTCTCGCTCAATGTCGACGACTTTGGATGATGTTAAGTTAGAGACTTTAACTGTGTAGAGCAGAATATTTCCAACTTCTAAAGATAAAACGAAACAGTTAGATGTTATAAAATATTTAATACTAGTAACATGATTATAATAAAATCAATTAATTAACTAATTAATTAAGGACGCTTCAGTTGAAGATTTCTCACTTCTACAGATCATTAAACTACAGATCGATAGATCGATATTTCGTTTTGGTTTTTTAACTTTTCATATCCTCCACTACATGAAGATCTGACCAGTTGTAGTGTAAGGTCGGGTCAGGGGTCATACGAACGGCTTTTAGCCCTATAACGTCATTGATTAACTAATCAGCGTTGATGTTTCTAGTGGGCTACCCACGTCAGGAACTCGCAGTAGCAAACCGTTTCATTGGCTAATCCCTCCCATCAACCAGAACGCGGGTTATATAACAACTTTTCCAGATCCTAGTGCAGTAGAGACAAGTAAAATAAAATTTTGAACTATGAGGAACGAAAGGAAATAGGATCTGTGTTTTAATCAAATTGTCCTACATCTAAGGTCAAACCAATTTAAATATTTTATCTGTTCGGGTTCTTGATAAACAATTAGCCACTTCAATGACACGGATATACTCAACCGGAACCCCCCCCCCCCCAAAAAAACCAAAAAAACAAAAAAAACGTCAGTACGATTTCAAAATCAGAGAGGGATTTTAATCAAATCATTCTAGAAAACGACTTACTAAATGAATCAAAGCAATTTTTTTGTGAACAGTATGTTGACACATTCGTGATTAATTCATCACAATTCCATGACATTACGAGAAGGTTTGGAGTCTGTACACAGTCTATACGTCAGTATCTGGTGTGTCCACCGCGAGTGTCAATAACAGCAGCGCCGCAGCGTCTGTACATGGAGTGGACCAGACGATTGATGAACGCCATTGGCACCCTCAACCACACATCGGCTATGTTTGGTCTCGGTACGACGTTATTAAGTCTCCTCTGAATTTCAAAGAGCTTGATCGATGTAGCGCACTACTGTGATGCCGCCTCCTCTCCCTGGACCAAGATTTTGGAACACCACAGGACCCACTCTTTGTTTCAGTCCGATTCCACCCCAAACCATTATGCTTGGACCTCCCCAAGAGTCTCGTTCCATGACACATTGGTCAGAATAACGTGGGTCACGTCGACGCCATATTCTGGTCCTGCCATCTGCAGGTGATACGCAGTACCGACTCTCATCTATGAACTGAACAGTTCTCCACCGCCTGTGTCGCCAGTGCTGGTGCTATTCACGTCTATGGTGAGGGCTGAGGATCGGTCCACGATAAGATCTACGGCAATGGATGTACTCCCTGACGAGACGTCGGCGCACTGTATCGGTACCAATGGGTCTGACGTGCTGTGTGAAGGGATTCTGCACGTACTGTCGCACAACATGGCGCTCTTGTCGTCTTGTGGTAACCGTGATGTTGGTGGACCGAAAGCGTTGCTGAAGCCTGTAGATGGTCCGAACATTGACCTGGAAGTGATTGGCAACGGTTTGGGCAGTGTGGCCAGCGTCAAGGCTTTCAAGCACCTGGTTCCTCTGAGCTGTAATGAGTCGTGGCATGCTGTTGACGTTGTATTTTGAATGGTTCAAACAGGTATGGGGGTGCATTTTACAGGGCTGGTACCAGTGAACAGCAGATGAAGCATGAGTTACATGAAAATCATGGAGAACACATTACCATCTCAGAAGTCAGGTTGCGTTTTAGAGAACATTTCCTGGGTTCAATT